CAACAACTGCCCGTACGACGTGTTCCTCGATGGGTGGGGCTCGCCCAATCCAAGTAGTGCCCTCCCAACTCTGGCATCGTGCTATGTCCCTAAGGCTTCGAGCTGCGTGATCGGAAAGTCGTGCACGACGGACGAGCCTATCTCACAGGGGCACCGCTGCGACGTGGCCGCCGCGACGCGGACTCCCGATCTCACATCTCAAGGGACGCGGGTGACATGGTGGCCTCGGGGACAGCAAGGCATGAGCCAGATGATCGAGATGAACCCGCCTCGGCCGCTGACATTTTTCAAAGGCGAAGGCGACAAGCTCGGGCACGTTAGCTTCTCGAACTACGACGGTTTTAGCATGTCGGCGATGTACGTGGCTCTGGACGAGAGTGACAACGTTGCGTGCGCCGACGGTGGTGCCAAGTTTGCCATTGGCGACCCACTTCCCGACGCGAGCAGCAAGTCCGGCTAGAGAGAGAGAGAGAGAGAGAGAGAGAGAGAGAGAGAGAGAGAGAGAGAGAGAGAGAGAGCCGAGAGAGAGAGAGAGCAGAGAGAGAGAGAGCAGAGAGAGAGAGATTGAAAATGGCGACAACAGTGCCGAGCAGCAGCAGCAGCACGCCCACGGCCCGAGCCAGAGCGAGGAGACGGAACGGCCGAGCCGACAACGGAGGCAGCGAGCAAAAAGGCAGCGCGGCGCGGCTCGCGCGCCGCGTGCGCCAAGCAGCCGAGGCTGCCGAGGCTGCCGAGGAGGCCGAGGAGGCCGAGGAGGCCGAGGAGGCCGAGGAGGCCGAGGAGGCCCCCCCCTCCCCCCCGGCGACTCGAACCGGGAGCCAGTCGACGCACGAACGGAACGCTCGCACATCACCGGATATGTCAACTCGCATCAGCGAGGCAGCAGCTCATATACAGTGGACTCTACTCAAAGCAGCGCAGAAGCGCTCGCAGAGCGGTGCGCAGCGCCGCGCACGCCACGCCGCGGGCGGTCGGACGAGCGCAGCGTACGTCGGCCGCGAGCCGCGTCGCCAGCCGTCTCGCGAGAGAGCGGCGCCACCACGTGCGCGCAGCAGCCGCCGCGGCAGAGACGAGCCGCGGCGACGTCCGCTAACTGCCATTGGCGGTTTCTATCAGACACCCAACGCAAGTCGCTGGCGCAAAAAAAACGCCAGATTTACCGCGCTCGCTGGCGAGGCTGGCGAAGGCCCCACCGGCGCAACGCTCACGCACATGCCTCCACTGCTCGCCACCGCTGGCGACGACGGCGTGGCGCTGTGGGACGGTGGCGCGGTGGCGCGGCGCCGCTTCTCGCCGCACGCCGCGCAGGTCAGTGCGCTCCGCTGGACCGCCAACGACCGTGTCCTCGCGAGCAGTTCCCACGACGGGTCCGTTGTCCTCTCCGAGCGGGACGGCTCGCTCTTCGATACGCTGCGGCCGCAGGCGCGCGGCCCCGACGGCCCCGCGCCGGTGCTCTCCGTGACGTGGAGCCCCGCCTCGCGCTACCTTGCCTCGGGCTCCGCGGACGCGCTGGTCCGTATCTTTGACCTGCAGAAGCGCGAGCACGCGCTCACGCTGCGTGGCCACCGCGCGGGCGTGTGCGCGCTCTCGTGGAGCCCGTCCGAGGTCCACGTCGCCTCCGCCTCCACCGCCGGCGACGTGATCGTCCACCGCGTGCAGGGCTCCGTCGCTGCGGTTTGCCGCGCGGATACGGCGCCGCCGGGCGCGCGCGGCGATCACGCAGTGCGCGGTCTGCATTGGTCGCCTTTCCACCCGACGAAGCTGGCGACGGGGTCGGAGGACGGCGTCGTCTCGCTCTGGGAGACGGCGGCGCCGCTGCGTGGCGGCTCGCACGCTGCTGGAGCCGCAGGCTTGCCACATTCACACGCACAAGCACACGCACAAGCACACACACACACACACACACACACACACACACACACACACACACACACACACGCACGCACGCACGCACGCACACACACACACACACACACACACCGCTCACCCACGCGCACCGGGCCTCGCACTTTGAATGCCGTGCGCTCCGGTCTGCAAGACGTGGAGTCGCGAGGGATAGCCCGGCCGTCGCCCCACAACCTTCGCTGTGCGTGTGGAGAAGTCGACCCTCTACCACTAGAGAGGAAGATGGGAGGTCGGCCTTGAGAGCTTACGGGGGGTCTCCCCGCGCCAGACGAGACTCTGCCTCTCCTCTCGGGGATTGAACTGGCCCTGTGCGAGAGGAAGATGGGTCGGCCTTGAGAGCTTACAGGGTCTCCACTACCTCTACCTCAGGCTTACCGCGTGCAGTTCAGCTGCACAAGTTTGAGGCGCACAGCGCGGCCTGCTGCGGCGTCGCGTGGTCGGCTGTCAACCACCACTTGCTGGTGTCCGCCGCCGCAGACGGAAGCATCGTCTTCTACGACACGACCCGCCTCGCCGTCGTGCGGACACTCTGCTCCGACCAATCGTTCGCCGCCCTAGAGGCAGACCACGGGAGATCACGGGAGATCACGGGAGATCACGGGAGACCACGGGCGCTCGGGCCACGACTAGACCTCCGGCGGACGCGTGCCCCGTTCTGCCTCGCGACCCCACGGCGTGCGCGGTGCCTCTCCTCTCCCCCGGGAGAGCGAGGTCCGCCCGTCCCGACGCGCGGCCGCTCTCTGTGCGGCCGCGCGCCTCGAAACGTCCAAGCAGCGCTCGAGAGGGCACGTACTCCCTCTGTACTCAGCCGTAGCGAGCTGGACTCGCTGTGTTCGTATCCCCCCCCCTTGCATTCACACGGCGCTGCAAAGACACGGCACACGGTCCCGCCCTCCCGCCCCGAGGTCGGCGTCTGCACCACCACGCAGGTTCACCTCCCTCCTAGGAACCTTCTAGGAACCTTCTAGGACCCTTCGCCACGCAGGTTCACCTCCCTCCTAGGAACCTTCTAGGAGCCTTCTAGGACCCTTCGCCACGCAGGTTCACCTCCCTCCTAGGAACCTCCTAGGAGCCTTCTAGGACCCTTCGCCACGCAGGTTCACCTCCCTCCTAGGAACCTCCTAGGAACCTTCTAGGAACCTTCTAGGACCCTTCGCCACGCAGGTTCACCTCCCTCGCCTTTGCGCCCGACGGGCTCCACCTCGCGTGCGGCGCCGCCGACGGCAGCGCGTGCATCTTCGACCTGCGCTCCTCCGACGACTCACCCCTCTGGAGCACCCGTGCGCACGACGGACCCGTCAGCGCGATGGCCTTCCAGCGCGCTTCGGGAGCCGAATCACCCGGCGGCGGCGGCGGCGGCGGGGTGGAGGCCGTGGGGGGCGACGGCGAGGGAGGTGGAGGTGCGGGGGGAGGGGTCCGAGGAGGTGGCGAGGGGGATGCTGTAGAGTCGGCGTGGAGGCGTGGGAGCTGGGGACT